TTTGATTAATTTTCACGTACTCAGAAACGAACAACTGTTCAACCGCCACTTGTATGAGGCTTTCGGAAAGTACTGCATTAAACTTAATTCCGAAATGTGTATTCCACTCCACGATTTACGAGTTCGAAACCCATTACCCTCATTCATTCACTAAACGGTACCCGTTGTTTGCCAACCAAAAGCTCTCTCACGAATCCTCATGTACCAGTTTAATTCACGTTCACCTCAGATGCTTTAATTTTCGAAAAGTACATTCTTCCAATCAAGCTGACGATTTAAGAAGTCGAACGGGGTTTTTTGTGTATACAATACGGTCTTGACAGCAAACAAGTTTTGACGGTGAATCTCCACATCGGCACACAGCAGCTCCAAAATGCAAATGTTTATGTATGGAAGCCGCATTTCTCTTGGTGCTTAATAGTTCAGTGACGATTGGACCTATTCCAAGTTTGATTTACAGTGATAGAAACACCGCACGTGAGATGCAGAGTGCAAACCATTACGCCAGTCAACTCCGGAAATCGAAGCTGGATTTATGATCAATTTGAAATGACAAACGACCCTAAGCATAGCTGAGCGTTTGATGTTGGGAACTGGTTTTCTATGTATTACTGCGCCAAACACGGCAAGTGACTAGAAAACATAAACAGGTAGGTGTTGAAGGATTGATCATGTGACGCTGTGGTAAACCACTCTACTGCACTGATATGCTCCGGACCACACATCCATCAACTAGCTTACTGGGTCGGTTGCCCGAACCAGACAACAGATAGTAGGATATTCAGAGGTAAAACCATAGGTGACCCTCGGCCAAGTGAACTTGCAAGTGTGATTTTCAGGGCTAAGTGGGATTGATACATGACCTAGCGCATCTTAGGAAGTGACTAACCGCTGATATCTTCCTCTGTTCTTAAAAAACACGCTGAGGAGCAACAAGGCATACATGACCGCGTTTAGGAGCTTGGAAATTTTCGCTATGAGGATACCAGAACTTCTGGGGGAACTAAGGGCTTGCTGTAAACAAAATTTGTTGATAAGGGCGTCACGATGATGATCTGAACGCCTTAAGCAGATAAACACTCGAAACTATGGAGAGCCTACATTTGGATAGCACCCCGAATTTACGGTTTCAAACACAGTACTGGTCTAGCTTGATATGCCCACCAATTAAACAGCCGTTATCAATTTTTTACTGAAAGGAATACTACTCGTAAGGTTGCTAAAAAAAACTCACGACCGGTTCCCTTTCGATTTCGCTTCGAAGGAAGATTCAACTGAATCCCACAATAATCTCTCGCTTGCAAATAGCTGAATGTGTCAAACTTCGTGTAACTCGGGTTCAGTTAGAATATAATTTGACGAGAGATTCGAGATTGTCGTTCTTTTGGCAGGATATTGCATCGAGCGTCTTCGGTCGTCGTAATTTGTATACATTGTTAAACCTCTTGAACACTGCAAACTCGAAAAAAGAGCCCAAAGCTAAACAACAAACATAGTTATGCGTTTGAAGCACCAAGATCACCTTCTATTTAGTGGCAGTCTCGCTCCTCTGAGAGCGGCAGATTCGGCAAGCTGTAGTACCTTACAGCTCGTGGACCTGTATACGATGTGGAAGGTGGCTATCGGATCGACACAGTAAATATTATGATTACCAGCTTGTAATTCATTTACGGAAAGACTGAAAGGTTCATTGTGTACGTTTGCCGAAATCACACGAATTCATTGGTGTGCTGAGTTCACACGTTTCACGCACAGCGCTTTCTACCCTCGTGAAGGTGTTCATTGGGTCACGGTGTTTGGCTGTGCCCAAATTAGCGGAGTATTTTATTACTTGCCAGTAGTGCGTCCATTCTGCTGTTTGATATGGTCAATTTACGATTGAGGTGTTCCATCAGCTGAAGAAGGCGACTAACAACCGTTACCACCTGTTTCCTCAATTTCGAGGCATCCATATGAGGTTTAGCTAACCAATGTTCATATGTATGTACAGCCACCTTTGGTGGAGGGTCTGAGACAAATTCAGGTATTTGACCACTGATGTCTCGGAACTACGGCTGGAGTCAATGAATTCGGAATAAACTGATGAGGGAGACGGGTTTTTGGCGAAGCATCCGGTGCTTTACTGAGAGAATGCACCTACTGCAGCAAGCCAGGGTGGCTGAACCATTTGTTACGCATACAAAGTTACCACTTGCCGAAAAGAGCGCTGGTTTCTGTGCCTTATATTCGGAGTGGCGGAAACCTAGAGATGGACAGAATTTGAAATGACAAAAGGGAACCAAGGAGAAGCTTGAGTGCTTCTCGCATTGCATGATGGGGTCCAAGTGACCCTATCTGTGCTTAGTCTAACACAGTGAACGCTATTCCGGCTAGCAAATGTCAATATCAGTCACGGTGTTAGTTTGTATCAAGACTGTCTAAGTGTTGGAGGTATGGGCACCTGGGAACAATTGTGGTAGGCTATTCCTACTTGTCTCTCATTGTCCCTTCTTTTTCTTTCTACTGTAAGGCTTTATCCTTATAAACCAATATCTACGGCAGTGCAGTAGCAGTGCTCTTCTCTACAGCTGTTGCCAGCACAGGTGATGATGTACCTGAGTACATTGCAGCCCACAGGTGAAGTAGAACCCTGGCAGGTGATGATCTGAGTACATTGCAGCCCACAGGTGAAGTAGAACCCTGGACGGTGAACGTGGAACCACCTACGGCCTCGGAGGTTTACGAACGAATATGTTCCCTCAAGCGCCACCGAGCTCCCGGTCC